AGTTAGAGTGTTCAATATGCTAATTATTATTAATTTATATTAGTTAAAAAGTAAATTGTTTGATTTAGGATTTTAGTTTGATTAATGATATTTTATTTTAATAATTATGTTATTGGTGAAAAAATATTATTTTATAATTATATTTAGAACAAAACTTATACCTATAATAACTACCATAATGTGGATTTTTTTTCAATTATATTTAGAGTTTTTTTTTATATAATATGTAATATGTTTGTTTTGTATTTAAAATAGAAATTGTCCTATTAATATATTTTTATTTATTTGTAAAACTCAAAATATAAATTAATAATATTAATTTTGATTTATGATTTTTCCATCTTGATCGTGAATTTTCTTCAGCAAATTATGATAATAAGATACATTGGTGACATATTTGGCTTTATACGGCTTTCTTCATTGGTTTAAAAGAGAGGAAAGAGGATTACACAGAAGCGTGTTAGAATCATTTACTTAACTAAAACTAAAATTTTATTGGAGAACAAAGATAAAATTAGGAAAATAAAAAAAAGTAATAGAAGAGAAATTTTTATAACGATTAAAATATGATTCCAAATTGTCAATGTGTTATATTATTTTCAACCCGTTTACACAAATTAATAAATGATCTTAAATTAATTAGAGTGAAATTAAACCATGATAAATCATAAAATAATTATCAAACAAATTATTTAATTTGTAAAAACTAAAAAATTAAAAATTATTTTTAAAAATAATAAATAAACAAATCTTGAAAATGATGTACATTTTTTTCAATTAGTGATAGGACGATATTTAATATTGTAATTAAGTATTATATTATAAATATAATAAAAGATAGTGAAATTATCAAATATTATTTTAAATAATCATTAAACAATTATTTTTAAGATATTGAATCATGTATAGATAGATACTCAAATAGAATATAGGGATGTAGAATAGCTTTCACTGATGATATGGAGAGACGAGTTGAGCATAAGGATGGTGGTGAGAGGGTCATTTTCACTCTGTTTCCGTGAGGAGAATGTAATCATTGCTTTTTCATGACTCGTCGTCTGTCTATCGTTTGAGCTACCATCTCATCATAACTTATTCCAAAGCATGAAAGATTTTCGATCGGTTTAACGAAAAATCAATTTAAAATTGACATAAAAGTAAAAAAAAACTATTGTATTTTTAAATTAAATTAATTTTAGTAATAAAAAATTAATTTTTTATTAATGTAATATTTACATTGAATTTACATTTTTGTCTCCAAATCCCAACTCAAACACTATACTCATCTAATGCAAGCAAGTTTCCTCTGTCTTCTTCATGTGAATCATCCACATTCAAAGGTATCAAAATCTCATGGAAGTAGTTGTAACCCAGGGGTTGAGACCAATTAACTAAAAATCTACCTGGTAAGGATAAAACATTCTTGTTTTGTTTTATGATTAATTGTGGAAAGGTGGGGACTAAAAGAGGGTGTCTCTGTCTGGAACGTGGGTCAGTGGCAACGTTGGATGCTGTGTTGCAAGAACATGTTGCATAGTACCTATCTCTTCAGATCTGCACAATCTTCATCCCTGTTATACCTCCAAAAACATCACACCTCATTACTGATTTAAGCCCAAAAATTATATCATCTTCAACAATTGTTACTAAGACTTATTTAAAAATAAAAATAAATATTTTATTATAGATCTCACATTTAAATTATTTAAAATTAAAAACAAATTATTTAGATAAACAATTCTCACAATATTTAAATAATTCTGATCGTATTTTAATCAATTCAACTATCAAATTTATAATAAAATATTTAATTTTATTCTTAAACTGCTTTTAAATATGTATTAACGTAAATATAATTTTAAATATTTTACTTTAAATTTGATAAAATTAATTATAATATATATCCACCTTTAAATTAATTATAATTTTAAAATTATAGTCACACTATACGATTATGATTATTAAATATTCACCTTTAAATGTTAGAGACTGCAATCTCTCTCCCTTTATCTTACAAACTAATTTTTTTAAATTAGATAAACTAATTTTTTAAAATTAAATTAGACACTTATTTATTTTTATTATCATATTAAAATTCATTGCAGCGAGAATTATTGGATCTGTCTTTATTATAGGATTGTTTATATTCATTATTAATATATTCATTCTTCAACATAATTTATACAAATAATTTATTTTTCTAATAATTTCAAAGAATAGGAGAGTACCTTATTAATTCTAACAAAAGGGCACATCTATCATGGATCGTTAGTAAAGATTGAACTCTATATAAAAATTTGTCTTCTTTTTATCTTATATGAATATCTTAAGATTCAATACGCAAGAGTCACACGAGCATAAAAAAAAAAAAAGTTAAAAAATTTATTGAATTAAAATAATATTTATCATATTCGATGTTTATTTACCCATAGATAAAAAAAAAAGCTAATTTTTTCTTATTAAAAGTATTTCATCCTTTCATTAACCATTTTTTTAATCAGTGGATGCAGTGATATAAACTCCAACAAATGAATATAATAAATGATTAATTTAATTAAATAGTATAAGTTCGATGGTTAACGTACGTCTACGAAAATATATTAAAAATAATATTATTCATCGTCGGTAACGGTTAAAAGTTCATAACCAATTTTTTTATATCTCAAAACAAGATAGAGATAATATTCACAACATTTTGAATACAAAGACTTTTAGTTCTTCAATCATTATGGCATAAACTACTAGTTTTAAAAACTCATGGATCTGTATATAATATACACGTAACTATGAATTCTCTGTATCGAAATTTATCACATTAAAAAAATCTGAAACACTCGGAGAAAACTTGTATTATACTATTTTTGTTTAAGAAACTTGTATAATACTTTTTTTTTTTTTTTGTTTAAGATATATATCATATGGTAAGTCAACTTGCAAAAACAAAGTGGGTAATATGGCGAATCTAGAGTCAAAGACATTATTCAATTTGAATTAATTTCTTTAAAGAATTACATGAATTTACACTACAACATAATATAATAAAAATAATATTTTTAAAATGAATTATTTTAAATTTATTATAAAAAACAACATGATGACATTTTTAAAATAAATTATATAATTATGATTATTTATTAATTATTATAATATATATAACAATAATGATTAATTGAATATCCATCTGTTAAATATGAAAGACAACATTATTCGACGATAAATGTTTAATAATCGTCGTTGTATAAATATGTATTTTATGGATATAGTTATTATAGAATATACTAGATGTATATAAATAACATATTTTATCAACTTATTAACACATTAGGATAATTAACTTTTTTAAAACAATATTATGTAAATGATAATAACTTTTTGGTAAAATATTAAGATAATTGACTAATTATTATTGTATAATTAGTGTTGAATATTGTAAATGTTTATGATAATTTCGTAGGATTATTGCCAAATTAATATTGAATATTGTAGGTGTTTATGACAAGGACTTGTTCTTCCTATTTCAAATAAAATAAATAAATAGAAGTGTTGATAACACCTAAGACAAAATAAAATGTGTTCATAATACAATGTATAAAATAAGAATTTATTTCCTAAATTTTAAGTAAGACAAGGAATAACGCATAAAATTTAGTATTTGGTGATACATTTAGGAAATTCCTTAATTATGTAAGAATTTATGCGCATCCAAGTTCAAATCAATCTCTATTTTCAACAACTTTGAAATCTCTAAAATATTTAGTTAATTATGTAAGATGGAAGAGACATAACTCATAAAATTGCGTTACATTTAAATGTGTAACCCTAGGATTAATTTTATAGCACAAAGGAGAAAACAAAAATTATCACAATATATCTTCTTTTTAAACCATTTTGCACGATATCAAATTTGTTATTTTTCTATAAAATGAAATCTTATTGAATGATTCCAATAAAGTCTCGTTTAATAATGATTCCAATCAAATCTTGAAGAATTTTATTATATTTAATATTCATTCAACTAGTGGTATATATAACACAATAATTGTCCAGAATCAAAACATAACAAATAACTTATCAATTTGATATTTTTATCAAAAAAATTTAATCATAAATTATAATAAATTTATTATACGTACAAAATTATCCCCGCACTGTGAAATATAACATACTAAAGTATTAGTGTAGTAGTCGTGAATTAGAAGATTAGTAATAGATTTAGAAGCTTTAAACAATTTCACACAAGCTGTGGATGTTTGTTTAGCTAAAGTGTTGAGATTATTTAACACAAAATGCCAAGATTATTCTTTACAACAAAAACATGTTAAAATATTAGTTCAATTATATATTATAAATTAGTATTATTTTTAATTGGTGGAAGAAATGAATATATAAAAAACGTGAAATTAAATATTAAGAATCATTCTAACAATTCGATAATGCGTAAAATGATAAAACATATCTCAGTAAGTTTTTTATCATGTATAAAAAAAATCAACTCAATCTTATAAAACTAACTTTTTAATACGAGATTTATACATTAATTATATATTATATATTATTTGTTGTTATAAATATCTGAACCCTAAGTCTAACTGAAACTCAGCTCATGATTTATTTTCTTACGAATTTCTAAAAAATAAATTAACATAATATAATATTATAATATTGACAGAAGGACAGGAAAACTGCAGGTAGGGTTGAATTTGTCCTACTGGAGGAGGAGTTCCCGAGTAGTAACACTCTCTCCTTTAATCTTGTCTCTTCTCAATTTATAGTTTTGTTTTGTATATGAAACTAATCACGTGAATCCCTTGCAGACAACTCTTCTCTTTTTAGCCTCTCCTTCTGTTTATAAGAACCCTACCACCCTATCATAACCCTCTTTCTCATTCATTCTTTCATATTTTATATCATTCTTCTGCCTTCCCTATACCTCCCATCTACCCTATCCCTATCTCTTCTCTCCACTCTCCATTAACTTGCCATAATCTTCCTCCATATCCATGACTCCTTGTTCCCTCAACCCACCACCCATACAAAGTCAAACCCAAATCTTCAACATATTTGATCCAACCCAAACCATACAAATTGCAGGCTTCAGAGAAAATTATCAACAGGCAAGATATCATATTATATTCAGTTCCTCTTAATTACTAATGTCTTCTGCATATTTATTTGATCAAGATTTATCATTGCTTTAATTTCTTTATCCGTTATATTCATGAGATCATACTCTTCCCCCTTCTTGGATGTTTTAGCTTTATATATCTATATCCACTGCAGAAATATAGTAGCTTCCAAAGAAAAATTGGTGGTCATGATCGTTACACTATATATTATACTAAGTCTTTAATTAATAACAGGAAATACTAATATCATTATGATTTATGAAAAAAAAGTTGATTAGGTTGCTCAAATTAATTTTACCATATATATGTTTACCTTAATTTCATCAACTTAGTTAATTAATCGTTTTCTCTCTTTACATTAGGTCAAATTTATTATTCTTCTTGATAATTCTTATAAGCTGAGTTACAAAAAAAAAAAAAAAAAGGATTCTGATTTTCCACACTCGTCATGCATTCTATTGAGTAATTTTCCATTTTCTTTCTCATTTCATTTTTCTCCTTCTTTCACTAAGCTCTAATAAAACATTATTATGATTATTATTAAACTTAATTTGTTTTCAGCATCTTGAATATACATATCTAACATGTATGTAGTGTTGATCTCTTGGCTTTAGGATGAGAAGATGGTAGTGCATGGTGGATCATCAAGCAATAATCTCAATCCACCTGAGCCAGTTACGGATGATCCAATTAGCAGCGCAACTGAGGGTAACTTAGCCTCGTACAAAGTGGAGGAGGAAGACATAGAAAATGGTCACGGGTCTGGGAAATGGATGTCTTCAAAGATGAGGATAGTGAAAAAAATGATGAGAGGGAGTATGAGTCCAAGCACTGACAAAGCATTGAATCCACCAGGGCAAGAAAGCAGGTGCAGCCAAAGAAGCCCTCGTAACAACAGCAATAGCACCACTAGGGTTTGTTCGGATTGTAACACAAGCACTACCCCACTTTGGAGGAGTGGCCCTAAGGGTCCTAAGGTTAATCTTTTCCCTCACCTCTTTCCTTCATAAAACCGCCACTGTTGTTAACTACTTTTCAATAACATCACTGGAAAAAAATCGTAGTAGTGTGGACTTTACTTAACAAATATAAAACTGTTAAATAGCATAACTGTTGTAATAGTCTACATTACGCAATACAGTATAATGCATCATACTATAACAGATATATTTTTTACTTTGAATGAGTATTAAGCTCATAGTTTTAGAATAAGGGCTGATTTAGAAGAACCAATAACCTTAGTTATTAACAAACATTTAATGAGTAGTTGTTAACATGCAACATGTTGCTGGGTGCAGTCACTTTGCAATGCCTGTGGCATTAGACAGAGGAAGGCAAGAAGGGCAATGGCTGAAGCTGCAAATGGTTTGGTCAGTCCCATGAACTCAGTATTTGCAAAGACCAGAGTGCACAACAAGGAAAAGAAGTCTCGTGCAAACCACTATGCACAGTGCAAGAGCAAGTACAAGTCCACTACTAGTACTGCAGGATCATCCGAGGGGTTGAGGAAGATTGAATATTTGAAGGACTTTGCCATAAGTTTGAGGAGTAACTCTTCTTTCCAACAGGTGTTTCCACGGGATGAAGTTGCTGAGGCAGCAATGCTTCTGATGGAGTTATCTTGTGGTCTTGTCCACTTATAATTAACCATATCTAGCTAGATACTTTTGCCATTTGTTTTTTTTTTTTTTTTTCACCTTCATATATACATATAGAAGTATGTAGTAATTAATTATCTTTGTTTGGTTGTGACTTGTGAGTTCTGAAGTGGAGCTGGTGTATTTGCAGCAGAACCAAAGTATTGTCGGCTACTTATATAGCTACATCTGTGATATTGATCAGTGAAAGTTTGTCTTAGCAATATTGTAGTGTTGTTGGTATAAAATCAAATTAAAGATAAATAACCTTTTTAAGACGTGTAAGAATATATATATATATATATATATATATATATATATATATCAGGAATTTCTCAGAATGAAAGCAATAGACCATGAACGGTTATTATTGGTATGTAAAACAATTCTGAAAACAGTTATATACAGGAGAAGAATGGTTGTTTTTAACCGAATTAATATAATTTAAATGTATTTATAATTTGTAATTAAATAAATTTAAAGAGAATTTCTATAATTAAAGTACTAAATTATTGTAAGAAAAACTAATTTCTCGTCAAATAAGATTGAATTCAAAATTAAAATTTGAATAATTTTAATAAATAATTTAATATTTTAAAAATATACAACGAGTGTTACTTTTAAGAGAGATGTTGTTAAGTTTTGACGTGATAAAATTTTGTGATAAATTCTACGCAAAGGAGAAGAGATGAAGGAAAAGAATGTGTGAAAAATTGTTGTATAAAATATTACTCTATCTTTAATTAGTTTGATATTATCTATGAAAATATTAATTAATTAAATATTCTAGCTTTAAGTAAAAAAAAAATATAAATATAAAATTTTAACATTCAAATCTCATTTTCGTAAAACCACCATCTTTTTATAGTTTCTTTTTTTTTTCTATCTTTTCTAACTTTTCCACTCTCTCTCATCTTTCTAAATTCTAACACACCTTAGTGTTAGTGGGTCAAAAAAACATTTTTAACCTATAAGAAATTTTTAAGAATAAGTTTTTATTTATCAAATTTTTAGAGCATTAGTATGCAAATTTAAAGAACTTGCATGTGGGCTCACGATGCATGTAAGTTAGTGTGGTGTGTTTACTTTATTAATTAGAGTTTTCTAAGAACATGATCTAATTTTCTATGAATTTAAGAGCTTTTAAAGTTTTTAGAATTGGAGGCTATGAAATTAAGGTAAGAAAAGTTAGTTAAATTTTAATTTTCATAGTATTCTAGCTAGAAGATGTACACTGAAAATGACTTGATCATGTTATTTGATTGACAGGGATTTGATTGTTGATATTATTGATATTTAAATGTGATTGAATGAGTTGAATTAGATTAATAATATATGGAAAGATGTGTGTGAATATTAGGGTAGGTAGGATAATTATATTTGAATTAGGTATAACATGTTTTTGAAAGAAATTTGGTAATAGTATCATATGGTTGTGTTTGATGCCTGAAAACTAGTTTGGTAAGTGTTTTACAAGTATGTTGTTTTCATATTTGGAATATGTAGATTGAAGATTATCTACATAAAAAAATGTATCATCCTTTATCCTAGAATAAAATAAAAATGATATCTCAGATAAATTGGGAGTTGCTAGATCGACAAACTTTGGGTGTCGTTAGATTCACATTAGCGAAGAATGTTGCCTACAACATCATTAACAAGAAGACAACATATGCTTTGATAAACACATTATCAAATATGGACGAGAAGTCATCAACATTAAATAAGGTATTATTGATTTGTTAGTTAGTTAATACGAAGATACGAGAAGGTGTTAGTGTTACAAATCATGTCAATGAATTTAATTCCTTATTTAATGAATATTAAATTTGAGAATGAAGTACAAGCCCTGTTGTTGCTATGTTTGTTGTGTGATAGTTGGTTAGGAACTGTGATCGATGTCGTACTCGGTCAAATAATTAAAATAGATAAATGTAGTACTAGGAAGCTTTCCTAGGTCGTCTCCCAAAGACCACAAATTTCTATCAAAGTTTATCAATTTTTAGTAACTAAAAATTAAAAGGGGAGTTTTTCAAAATTAAAATATTAGATGAAACAAAACAAAAATAGATTATAAAAATGCGGATTAAAAACAGATTAAAATGCAATTGATTTTTTGATTCTAATGCAGCGTCACTCATCCTAGATTACGAAATTAATTCGAAATTAACCGACTAAGCGAAGATAAATCCCAAATTATATTCTAATCCAAAATTAATCAACTAAGCGAAGATTAATCTCAAATTAGCTTTAACCCTTGTTCTAATATGAAATTAACCAACTAAGCGAAGATTAATCCCAAATTTTCCTTAACCCTTATTCCAACATGAAATTAACCAACTAAGCGAAGATTAACCCCAAATTATCCTTATACAATTAAGCATTGCATACATCACATAATCTCATATCTAACATAGAATTAAGCAAACTGTGATATAAGTTTCGGTTTATTAAGCATAAACAGATTATAATTTAATACTGAGATTAGAAGATGAAGAGTTAAGAGAACAAACAATATGAAATTGAAGAACAAAACCTCAAAGATCTACTTGTATTCTTCTCAGAAAATCAATACAAAGATTTAGCTATCCATAGAAAGTTGAAAACGCAATAGAAGAAACATAATTAAAATTGAAACAAGAATTTAAAAATAATGACAGAAGAGTAACAAACTTGAATGTAAATTGCAGAAGATGAAAGACGGAAGTGTGGTGGCTGCCTAGTCCTTGTGTGTTGTCTCCTCTCTTCGTGTGATGTGCCTCTCTTATATAAATAACCCTAACCCTAATCTTAATTGAGGTTTGGGCTCAACTAGTCCATGAAACACATCATAAATTGGCTTCAGTGCAGGTCCATGAACTTCAAACACGTGCAGTATTTTCAATACTTATCCAAATTAAGCGATTTTGGTCTCCAACGAAAGCCTCTTGAGTTAGCTTTAAAACGCCACCGTTTCTACTATTTTCAGAGCTTTAATGAATTTATGAGACTTAAATTACTGAAGCATGTCCATTGGGCCGGCCTGGTGCGCTTGACCCGTTTTGGATAATTTATGTAAACTCCAATTTAGCTCCGAATTGAATGATTTTGGATCCTGTGGAAAGCTCAATGTGTCTAGTTTATAATTATTTTAGAATCATGTTATTTGGAGATCTGTAGAAAAAATGATAAATAAAACAATAAACTAATGTCAGTACCCGTATAAAATAAAATATGACATTTGGCCCAATTTTTCAAGTCCAAAATTGCTTTATGAGTAAAAATTAGATCAAATAGATTAAAATCTAAATTATTGGCCCAATGAAGCCCAATCAATGAAAATGCACTAATAATAGACAATTAAACACAATGCACCAATTAAGATAAGTATATAAAGATAAGAAAATGCGGGAAAATAATGACTAATCAAATTCCCCCACACTTAGCCTTTTGCACTCCCGGCAAAATCAAGAAGCAAAGCAAGGAGTAATTCCAAAGACATCGAAGAGAGTGACATAACAAAAAGGAGCAAGAACAAGAAGACACACAAAACACAAACAAATTTACACAATCCTTAATGAATCTTGGGAAAAGAAAGGAGTAGACAACATCCTACACACAAAGAGTCGGAGGAACCGGATACTCATGGAAATCATCCAAGCATTTCAAAACCTGGCAAGAGGTCAATCAGGTCAAAAGGTGAATCAAAGTGACAAAACCTCACAAGATGCACTGTATCTCTCATGTGTTTAGGCTACTCGTATACTCTCAAAATACTCAAGAAAAGCAAACAACGATAGACTTGGCAAGCCTCTAAACTCAACACCCAACGCACATGCATAAAAAGATCAAAAGGTCTTTTTAGGTTGTAATGGGGGTAGGGACAAGGTAGAGGATATCATATAGGATAAGTAGCTGTGACCGGAGGAACTAGAGGAGCAATGGGGAATAAGTCAAAAATAAGCACAAGATGCATGCCCAAAAACCTCTAATATCAAACCTCCACTACTCGCCTTTACCTCAACCACAACTTTCCTTTCTTTATATATATATATATATATATATATATATATATATATATATATATATATATATATATATATATATATATATATATATATATATTTTTTTTTTATATATATCTTCTTCTTTTTTTCTTTTTTTTTCTTCCTTTTTTTTTTTTTTTTAAGAAAGGAAAACACAAAAACTATATAGCAGAGATAACCAACTAGCCAATACATCATCCAATGAAATACAAAATGCACCCCCACACTTATTCAATAACTTATTCCCAAAACAATTCCAAAGCTCCAAAAATCCCTAAGGTTAAGGTAATCATGGTTTTTCACTTAAGGCTTTTAATGAGCTTTAAAAGAAATAAAGGGAAACATAGGCTCAAAGGGGCTATCAAAGGAATTAATTCAAGGTAGGCTCATTTGGCTAGAGGCTAATCAGAACAAAAATGCCTTAATCATCTCCAAACATGCATGTGAATCAAGAAGTATCAATCGAGTCAAGCCAAGGCTATCGCGCAAGCAATCAAGAGGCATAACACTCAAGAAAGAAAGGTAGTGGCTCAATTCCTCACAAAGGGTAAGATTGTCGCCTTCAATTCAGCCTCTCAAACATCGTAACCAATTTGACAAGCAGAGAAAAACAGGGATTTCAATCCAAAAAGCATAAAACAACTCCTATCTAAGAGTGAAGAAAGTGCCCAAAACCTAAACAAAACCCAGAGATCCAAAAGAAACATGCAAATTGTACACAAAACACGAACCTGAAATACAAAGAAAACTAAAAATCCTAAACAAAGAAAACAAAGAACAGTCTCCCCCACACTTAAACTACAAATTGTCCCAATGTAGCAGAACATCAAATCAAGCAATCAAATCACCAATTGGACAAGTGCAGTAAAAGTAAAGAGAAGGAAAAAGAGAACTCCCTAATCATGGTGGGTCCCGGATCTATCTCCTCAGATGGTACAGGTGTTGAGGTCATCAAGTAGCAACTTTGTTCCGCTAAAACAA